ATGGGCAGATCATCTGAAGAAAGGGTCAGTTTAAACTCGTGATGCCACATCATGTCTGTGTCAACAGGGCTTTCATATCACATGAAGAAAACAGGGCCTCCCAAGAAGCACACAGGGAAAAATGCAAAACACCCAAGGGGAGATCCCAACTTCTAGAGGGAATTTATCCTCACCCACAGAGATCAGGTTCCTGTAGGTCTCCAACATCACGTCCCTGTACAAGGCCCTCTGACCAGGGTCCAGGCATTCCCACTCCTCCTGAGAGAATTCAATGACCACATCCTTGAAGGTCAACCATTCCTGAAATGAAAATACATTTCAACAACGGGTCATGAGAAGAGTTATCTTCATACAAAATGGAAAGATGAGAGAGGGGTGAGGATCGATTTGGTTCAAGTATATGTTCTGGAAGATCTGTGTTAAGGTATTTGGAGCAAATACTGTGTCCCTTATTTTAAATTCTTATGCTTTTTCATAAGAGATTATCGTATCATCCAATAAATATGGATTTGTCATCTTTGTGGAGAATCCATAAAACATATATAAATAATACTAAACAACAGGTTGTCTATGCAGAAGTGTCAGATCTATGTTCTAAACACTGAGTGATATTCAATATTTAAATAAGTTACACTATGAGTGGCAGCTTCAGAGATGACAAAGTCCACAATGGCTTTAAGGAAAACTCAAAATCTTCAATTATGATAATGATAGAAACAGCAATGACTAAAAGTGTTTGAATACTTCCTATAGACAAAACATTACTCAAAATAAGTACTTTACAAGCACGAACTTCTTATCAATATAACAGCTCATTCGAGAAAGATATGTTCCCATCTTACAGAGCAGAAAACTGTGTCAGAGACACAAAGAGAAACTTGAACCAAGTCAAGAAGCTAAGCAATGACACAGCAAGCACCTGAACTCAGGTGGTTGAGCCCTGGAATTGAAGCTTAAAAATCAGTTAAGTAAAGGAGAGCATTAGAAGTTCACTGACACTTTGTTATAAAGCAGAAACTAACACACCACTGTAAAGCAATTATACTCCAATAAAGATGTTTAAAAAAAAAGAGTACATTGACAGAGGAATCCCTGAGAAAAGCTTGAAAGACATTCAAGGTGAATGACATGGAATAGCATGAAAGGTCATTATAGATGTGGGCACACAAGCACATGCACATACAATGTTAGTAATCTTACTACTATTTAAACCATTAACATGATGGTGTAGAAAAAAGTCAAGGCCACGGAATATATATATATATTTTATACCTTGGTTAGGGCATTTATTACTTTTACTTTGGATTGCAGACACTTGCTTATGTATATGTACCTTAAATCATTAAAACAAGGATTCAAATCTGTTTCATCTCTTCATGTCTTCTATTACTTAAATAGGTCTTTTTTTTTAATTAGTTATCCATTTTATACATATTAGTGTATATATATCAATCCCAATCACCCAATTCATCCCACCACCAAGGCCACGGAATATACTGAAGATATAATTTCAACTGCAAAAAGATATATACTTTTGAAATCACGTCTTTTATCTAAATGAATGGCTTGCACATCCATGGCACCCATCACACACGTCAACACAAAATCAACTGGAACGAGAAGACTTATCTCTTTACATATTTCAGGACAATTTTTTTTATCATCGGTTTTTTTGTTTTCCACTAATAAAACATTGACACAAAATTAGAGAAGTTTAGTGTTATACACTATTTTCACAGATTAAGAAAATTATCACAGTGGTAAAGTTAAAAACTTCTTGGGGAATTAAAAATCATGACAAAAAAAGCGTATGGAAAAAATATATTGTTATTAAGCAAGAACATTTCACCGAATGTCATGAAAAGTAAACACTTAATACGTATCCTCTGCAATTACAGTGAAATGAAGGGGCCTGGCCAGGGCACCAACCTTTCACCACTGCTCAGTGTGCCTGAGCAGGGACCACTAGAGGAAGTAACAGGAGGAAAATGGAAGACCAAGTGTAAGAGACACAGAGAGAGTGTGTCAGGCAGTTGGAAACGTGAACATTCACACATCAAATGAGACGGAAAAGCTAAAGGTGAAAGAAAGGAAAAAGATATTCCATGCTAAAGAGAGCAGGACTGAGTATATTATATCACACAAAACAAAGGCAAAAACTGACAGAAGCCACAAAGGATATTATACAATCTTAAACGAGTCAATTCACTAAGAAGATATAACAGTTATAAATATATACATTAGAGCTTCCCCCCAAAAGAAGCAAACGTTAACAGAAATCAAGAGGAAAACAGGGACTTCCCTGATGGAGCAGTGGTTAAGAATCCGCCTGCCAACGCAGGGGACACGGGTTTGAGCCCTGGTCCGGGAAGATCCCACAGGCCGCAGAGCAACTAAGCCCGTGTGCCACAACTACTGAGCCTGTGCTCTAGAGCCTGCAAGCCACAACTACTGAGCCCGTGTGCCACAACTGAAGCCCGCACGCCTAGAGCCCATGCTCCGCAACAAGAGAAGCCACCGCAGTGAGAAGCCCACGCACCGCAACGAAGAGTAGCCCCCGCTTGACGCAACTAGAGAAATCCCACATGCAGCAACGAAAACCCAACACAGCCAAAAATAAATTAATTAATTAAAAAAAAAAGGGGGAACAGCAGCACAGTTAACAATATGACACTTCAATACCCCCATTTTACTTGAAGGCTATAATAAAAGAGAAATCTACACAGCTAAATGGTTACAACAGAAAGGGAAAAGATCTCCACTCAAGAATTTTTTACATCTCAATGAAGCAGAAAGAGAACAAACTGAATCCAACTTTGGCAGAACAAAAGAGTTAAATAAGAAAGATTCAGGGCTTCCCTGGTGGCGCAGTGGTTGAGAGTCCGCCTGCCGATGCAGGGGACACGGGTTCGTGCCCCCATCCGGGAGGATCCCACATGCCATGGAGCGGCTGGGCCCGTGGGCCATGGCCGCTAAGCCTGCGCGTCCGGAGCCTGTGCTCCGCAACGGGAGAGGCCACAATGGTGAGAGGCCCGCGTACCACAAAAAAAAAAAAAAAAAAAAAAAAAGGAAGATTCAGATCCTGCAAACCCACTCCTAGGCATATATCTGGAGAAAACCATAATTCGAAAAGATACATGCACCCCAATGTTCACTGCAGCACTATTTACAATACCCCAAGACATGTAAGCAACCTAAATGTCCACTAACAGATGAATGGATAAAGAAGATGTGGTGTATGTATGTGCGTATATATATACACACACACATATATATACACACATACACAATGGAATATTACTCAGCCATAAAAACAAATGAAATAATGCCATTTGCAGCAAAATGGATGGAACTAGAGATTATCATACTAAGTGAAGTAAGCCAGACAGAGAAAGACAAATATATCACTTATATGTGAAACTGAAGGAAAGAAGATACAATTGAACTTACATATGAAACAGAAATAGACCCAGAGACATAGTAAAGAAAGTTAGGGGTGACCAAAGCAGAAGGGAGGGGCATAAATTAGGATTTGGTATTAATATATACACACTATTTTGTATAAAATAGATAACCAACAAGGACCTACTATATAGCACGGGGAACCATACTCAGTATTTTGTAATAACCTATAAGGGGAAAGGATCTGAAAAAGAATAGATATAAAATTGAGTCATTTTGTTGTACACCCAAAACTAACCAAACACTGTAAACCAACAATACTTCATATAGGGATATATGTGTACGTATAGCTGATTCACTTTGTTATAAGGCAGAAACTAACACACCATTATAAAGCAATGATACTCCAATAAAGATGTTAAAAATAAATACTTCAGTAAAAAATTGCTAAGTAGTTCGACATCACTAATTATTAAAGAAATGCAAATCAAAACTACAATGAGCTATCACCTCACACCAGTCAAAATGGCTACCATCAAAAAGTCCACAAACAGGGCTTCCCTGGTGGCACAGTGGTTGAGAGTCCGCCTGCCGATGCAGGGGACACAGGTTCGTGCCCCGGTCCAGGAAGATCCCACATGCCGCGGAGCGGCTAGGCCCGTGAGCCATGGCCGCTGAGCCTGCGCGTCCAGAGCCTGTGCTCCGCAACGGGAGAAGCCACAACAGTGAGAGGCCCGCGTACCGAAAAAAAAAAAACAAAAACAAAAAAAACCCAAAAAAAACCCCACAAACAATAAATGCTGGAGAGGGTGTGGAGAGAAGGGGACACTCCTGAACTGCTGGTGGGAATGTAAATTGGTAGAGCCACTATGGAGAAGACTATGGAGGTCCCTTAAAAAAAACCAAAAATAGAGCTATCATACGACACTGCAATCCCACTCCTGGGTATATATCCAGAGAAATACATGGTCCGAAAGGATACATGCACCCCAGTGTTCACTGAAGCACTGTTTACAAGAGCCAAGGCATGGAAGCAACCTAAATATCAACAGAATAATGGATAAAGAAGATGTGGTACGGGGCTTCCCTGGTGGTGCAATGGTTAAGAATCCGCCTGCCAATGCAGGGGACACAGGTTCGAGCCCTGGTCCAGGAAGATCCCACATGCCACGGGGCAACTAAGCGCATGCGCCACAACTACTGAGGCTGCGCTCTAGAGTCCGTAAGCCACAACTACTGAGCTCACATGCCACAACTACTGAAGCCCATGCACCTAGAGCCCATGCTCCGCAACAAGAGAAGCCACTGCAATGAGAAGCCCACGCACTGCAATGAAGAGTAGTCCCCACTCACCGCAACTAGAGAAAGCCCGCGTGCAGCAACAAAGACCCAAGGTGGCCAAAAATAAATAATAAAATTAAATTAAAATAAAGAAGACGTGGTACATATATACAATGGAATATTACTCAGCCATTAAAAAGAATGAATTAATACCATTTGCAGCAACATGGATAGACCCAGAGATTGTCATACTGAAGTAAGTCAGACACAGAAAGAAATATCGTATGATATCACTTATATGTGGAACCTAAAAAGAAATGATACGGAGCTCTGGTACCCTGAGTCAGAACAGCTCCACAAGTGATGGAGAGCAATCTGTTTCCAGCCAAAGCAGCAGCAGCATTCCCTCTCAGGTAACAACGGTAGGGTCTGGAAAAATTTCTGAACCAGAAGCTCCAGATAAACATGATTCAGCGTCCTTTGTTTCTTCGTTGTTGAAATCCAGTGTGAATAGTCATGTGACCCAATCTACTGATTCCAGAGAACAAAGTAGATCCCCGAAAAAGAGTGCTTTGGAAGGCTCTTCAGTCTCAGCCTCTCAAAGCATCTCAGAGATTGAGGTGTCCTTGTTGGGCTCCTCAGGAAGCTCAGAAGTAGAGTTGCCACTGTTGTCTTCTAAACCTAGTTCAGAGACAGCTTCAAGAGGTTAACTTCCAGAACTAGGTTCAGAGGTAAGTGTTTTGTCATCCGTTTCTAAAAACAGTTCCTCATCAGGCACATCTTTACTAACCCCCAAGAGCACCACCTCAGCAAACACGATGCTGACTTCCAAAAGCACTTCGCAGGTAGCTGCATCACTGTTAGCTTCCAAGAACAGCTCCCGGACCAGCGGCTCTCTGGTTTCCAAAAGCACTTCCATAGCAAGTGTGTCCCAGCTGGCTTCTAAGAGTAGCTCTCAGACCAGCACGTCACAGCTGCCTTCTGAAAGTACTGCGCAGGTGAGCGAGAGTTCTGTCAGATTCTCTTGTTGCACGTTAACCAATGAAGATGTGAAACCAAAGCAGCCTTCTGTCAATAGACTGTACAAAATGGTGGCATGGAAGTTGGTGACTGTTGGTGACTTCAGTCCCAGCATGAATCATGGAGAGCTCCTAAACGCAGCTATCAAGGCTCTGAAAGCAACATTGGATGTGTCTCTTGTCCCACCAATAGAACTTGCAGATCTGCCTCAAAATAAGAGCTCTCAAGAAAGTATTGTTTGTGAATTGAGATGTAAGCCTGTGTATTTGGGCACTGGCTGTGGAAAAAGCAAAGAAAAAGCAAAAGCAGTTGCATCAAGAGAAGCCTGGTAGTTATTTCTCAAGAAAAAGATGGTGGTAAAAATATGTAAAAGGAAATACAGAGGCAGTGAAACAGAAGACTTAGTACTCCTCGATGAAGAGTCAAGGCCTGTAAACTTACCTCCAGCATTAAAACATCCTCAAGAATTACTATAATACGTCCAAAATATCACTGCGTACAATATCTGGTATTTGAAGAGAAAAACTTGCTTACTTTTGTATAATATGAAACACAGGCTTTCACGAATGTTGTATTGCTTTTTTCCAGTTTTGCAGAAAATCTACATTCTAGTTCTCTTCACACAGTGGAAGTTGTAAATAACTTGTGAATGACAGTATACATTAAAAGGTTTATGCATTAACAGCATACCAATATGCTGTTTTATTTGAAGAAAATACTGTCTTCTATTTTTTTTTTTTTTTTTTGTGGTACGCGGGCCTCTCACTGTTGTGGCCTCTCCCGTTGCGGAGCACAGGCTCCGGACGCGCAGGCTCAGCGGCCATGGCTCACGGGCCCAGCCGCCCCGCGGCATGTGGGATCTTCCCGGACCGGGGCACGAACCCATGTCCCCTGCATCGGCAGGCGGACTCTCAAGCACTGCGCCACCAGGGAAGCCCCCTGTCTTCTATTTTTAATGACACATTAGGTACAATGTGTAGTTCTGTAGTCTTAATTTTTGTACTACTTTGAATTTGGTGAAAATGTATTGTCTACCATGCTTTATTTTTCTAGCTGAATAATCCTTCACATCAAAGAAAAGGAGACCATAGTATGTGAATGTCTGAAAGTCTGTGAAGCTTAAGGTTTTAAGAATGTTGCCCATAATGTTGAACATGTCTGTTACAGAATAAAAGAGAAAATAGTTGCCTCAGACTAAAAAAAAAAAGAAATCCAAAGATACAGATAAATCTATACTCATGGACTGGAAGTCTCAAAACTCTTGAAATGTCCAAACAAACTACCCAAACTGTTCTACATATTCAATGCAACCATTATCAAAATTACAATGGCAATTTTTGCAGAAATAGAAAGAACACTGGCCAGACATCACAGAAACTCAAGGGACCGCAAATTGCCAAAACACTCTTGAATAAGAAGAAAGATGGAGGCCACCCTTTAATTTTCAAAACATATTATAAAGTAATCAAGATGGTGTGGTACTGGCATAAACACAGATATATAAACCAATGGAATAGAAGAGAACGCTCAGAAATGATCCTTTGTATATATTTAAAATCTACTGATACTAAGGACGCTAAGACTACACAGTGGAAAAAAGACAGCTGCCATTAACAAATGGTGCTGGGAGGGCTTCCCTGGTGGCACAGTGGTTAAGAACCTGCCTGCCAATGCAGGGGACATGGGTTTGAGCCCTGGTCCAGGAAGATACCACATGCTGCAGAGCAACTAGAGCCCACGAGCCACAACTACTGAGCTGGCGTGCCACATGCCTAGAGCCCATGCTCCACAACAACAGAAGCCCATGCACCGCAACAAAGAGTAGCCCCCACTTGCCACAACTGGGGAGAAGCCTGCGTGCAGCAAAGAAGACCCAATGCAACCAAAAATAAATAAATAAATAAAATAAATTTATAGCAAAACAAAACAAATGGTGCTGGGAAACTGGATACCTGGATGTGATAAACAATGAAGAGGAAACCTTACCTTCATCAAACGTAAAAATTTCTCTGTGCCAAAGAACAAAACCAGCACAGTGAAAATACAAAATCTGAAGAATGAATGTGATGAAAGTGATTTAAGGAATTTCCACCTCTCAGACATTTAGACTGATTTCATAGTTTGAAATAGATGATGGAGTAAAACACCCTCTATCACTGATGTCTGGTTCTGAATTTTTCATTCTGTTCCCAATCATTAAGATTCTGAAGTCAGTGACTCACTCATTTAGCTTAATTGCCTTAGAAAAAGTCAGAACAAATTTCCCCTTGTTGGTCTACTCCCAGATTTTATCAGGTATTGTGCACCTAATAACTGACTTTCATGTGCAGTTTCTTTATCCTGGTTTACAGAGAGCAGACAGTCCATCCAGATGGGGCCCTAAACAATCCCTCCCACCCAATAGCACTGACGCTCTGCCTGAATCTGTGGGTGTGAAGCCCTGCCCAGCACTGCACCCAGTGGAGCCTTTTCACAAGTTCCAGGTCACTGGGTCATGGGGAGATGGGATCTAAGTGGAGATGACAGGCCCTGAGGGAAGGACCCGGGTGAGTGTGAATGTACAGGTGTCAGGCAGGATACTTCAGAGTCAGAGATTAGCGAGTCCAAAGAAAGGCATTTCAGGAAGCACAGACAGAAGAAACAACTGAGAACATGACTTTACCTGAGAAAGAGCCATTTCTGACTCCTTTTCTTTCCTCTCCCTCCTCTTCAGGGCTCTTCCTCAGACAACGTTGAGTCTTTAGAGGTTGACCTTGAAAGTTGAAAACAGGCTGTTTAATGCTTGGAATCGACACACCCCCTTCCTGACTCACCACCACACACACAGGGAAGCCCTCAGCATGTGGAACAGACGGTCCTCTGCTACCCACTGTCCCAGGAGGGGCTCAGGACAGTAAACTCGTAAAAGACCAACAGGTGAGTTTTCCCACCCTTTCTTCAGATCTCGCTCCCCTCCTGGTGAGGCCCTCACGTACCCAGCAGCAGCGGGCACCTCAGCTGGACCCGACAATCCCCTTCGGGGCACAGACCAGCCCTGATCCATCCCCACACAGAGCAGAGCCCTCACCCTCAGCCCAGATCTCAGCCCTCAGGAATGGGGGGACTCAGAGTCATGATGCTCAATGCTGGATCCAAATTAGAATTAATTGGGGGCACTTTAAATATTATTGAGCTTTGGCCTCACACCGACGATCTGAAGAAGAATCCCTCATTAGAGAGTACAAAACATGTATATGCAAAATGCCTCATCGATCTAATATGAAGCCTGGGTTGAGCACCACTCAGCAGTGGCAAGGCCAGCACAGCCCTCACTTTCTTTTTCTTTCCCAGCTTAACTGGGGTAGGATTGCTGAGTAACAACCGTGTACATGTGAGGCATATAATGTGATTATTTGATAGATGTATATTCACTGTGTAATAATTATCACAATAAAGTATTTACACTTCCATCAACTCACAATCACCCTTTTATTTCTGTGCAGTGAGGACACTTGAGTGTTGCGCTCAGAGCAAACTCCAAGTATACAGAAACACAGTGTGATTAACTACAGTCTGCATGCTGTACATTAGATATACATGTGGTACTTTTTCATCTTACAACTGAACGTTTGTAACCTCTGACCAACATCTCCCCATTTACCCCACCATCCAACCCCTCCTAATACCCTTTATACTCTATGACCCTATGAGTAAGACATTTCTACTTTCCACCTATAATACCTGTCTTTTTCTGTCATAATAATGTCATAATTTACGGCTGAAATAAATTTTCTATATCCATTCATTTGTCAGACATTTTAGTTCTTTCTACATCTTGGCTGTTGTGAATAATACAGTAATGTTCATTGCAGTGCAAATATTTCCCTCGCTATAATGATTTCATTTCCCTTGGATATCTAGCCAGAGGTGGATAACATAAGCGGATAAACTTTAAATGTTTTACATTCTAAAGCAACAAATTAAAATATCACAACTTAATCACCCATATCCAAAGAACTCACCCCCCATCTGTATCGTTTCCCCCTCTACCTGACTACTATGTGTTTCTATTTCATTCTTTATCTATCTCCCTATTTCTTTGTTCCCCTCTACTCTCCTGTCTGCCCTCCTATTTATTTTATCACACCTGTCCTGCCCCACTACTCTGCAACTCGTTCCCCCTCTTGTTGCTCTTTACGCCCAACTTTTCTGATTGTCCTAAATATCCATATATTTCTGCCTCTTTCTTCCTCCATCTCCGCTCCCTCTCTGCCCTCCAGATTACATTCCTTCTATTCCAGTTACACTCCCACTCTATGGCACCCCAGACGGCTATGCTTCCTTCCTGCTCTGTCTTCCTCTGCTCTTCTAGTCAACACCGTCCTCTGTGTCTCTCCCACGACCACGATGCTCCGAAGGCCTTACTTCTAACTCTTTTATCCTCTCCCCCCACTCTCTGTGAAGTGCTCTCACCACTGCTGTCCCTCCTGCTACAGCTGACGCAGGGCCCGTCCCCATGTTGCTCTCCAAACCCAGGAGATCACACTCCTTTATTCACTTCTCTATTTTATCTACCCGCTACTTTAAGAGCTAAATCTGTTTCATTTTACTATCCCTTTGAGAACAATTTCCAGCGAGATGAACTTGTGACGGAAGAATACTGGGTGTCACACGGTTGGCCCTGGTCACCTCCCCCTACACAGGGTGAGCGGAAGAGCTGGCTAGAAGAGGAGGCTTGCGGAGCACAAGGACCGGCCTGAGGAGACGCGAGGACAGAAGCGCTGGGAGGGAGGGAGGGAGTCTCCGGAGGGGGGCGGGGTCTCCAGAATCCCGGGACCCGGGAGAGGACGCGGCCTGTCCGGGAGCGCGGCGGCCGGCGCTGCCCTCTGGGGCGGGGGAGAGAGCGAAGCTGCGGGAGCGCGAATCCACCTCGCAGAAGGGGACTTTACAAGGGGCAGGCGGAAGTAATAAAGGATTGTAAGCAGGAAAATGTCGCGAAAGGCGGTGTCTCAGTGGACCGAAGGCCGAAAAGCAAAGGGCAAGGACCCTCACAGCGATTTCAAACCCAAAGGAAATTAATACTCGACCTGTAACGGCGACTTCTGGATTTACTTGGGGCGGACGGCGGGCGCTGGGCTATTACCCCCGCAGAACCTCGGAGACCCTAAAGATGGAGTAAGGGGGACCGCGCAGCACAGACTTAACACTAGAAGGAAAAACTTAAGCTCCGCTGTGCGACCTTCACTCTCGGGTCTCCGCTTCCGCTTCCGTAAGAAACTGCGCACGCAGCGCGTACTTCAGAGGCGAGGCTTCTAGGCGGGACTTGGGCGGAGCGCTGAAGGTGAGAGGCGGGGGGAGGAGAGTCCAGGTCTGAGCCCGAGAGCCCGAAAGGCGGGACAGGGGGTGGGGGGGCAGTCAGGGAATGGTGCTTCCCAGTACTTTGAAACCCCTTAAGTTACTGGCTGTTACAGTTTTCAGGTAAAAGCTTACAGCTTTGGGGACCAGTTATGTTGGAAACTAGGATGTTTCCTCCTAACAAGTAGAAAATGATTTTAATAAAAAATTGTTTTTGCCAGCATGTTGCTCACAAGTCCTACTCCTGCGGCTCAAGCAATTCAGTGGTTGGGAACTTGGGTCTCCAAGTGGTAGCTGTGGGGCAGTCATTGGATGTGGAACATTTCCTGCAATTAGTATTAATTTAAGCAGTTTAAGAAAACAAGAGCTTGACTTGTCTCTGTATTACAAACTAGAATAAAAAATACAAAACTCTGGGACTTCCCTACTGGCGCAGTGGTTAAGAATTCGCCTGCCAATGCAGGGGACACGGGTTCGAGCCCTGGTCCAGGAAGATCCCACATGCCACGGAGCAACTAAGCCCATGCACCACAACTACTGAGCCTGCGCTCTAGAGCCCACAGGCTGCAACTACTGCAGCCCACATGCCACAACTACTGAAGCCCGCGCTCCTAGAGCCTACGTGCTGCAACTACTGAAGCCCGCATGCCACAACTACTGAAGCCCATGCTCCTAGAGCCTGAGCTCTGCAGCAAGAAAAGCCACCACAATGAGAAGCCCGCACACCACAATAAAGAGTAGCTCCCATTCACCGCAACTAGAGAAAGCCTGCGCGCCACAAGGAAGACGCAAGGCAGCCAAAAATAAATAAATAAATAATAAATAAATGCAAAACTCTCCCTGGGAAGAATGGGCCATTTCATACTGGCACCCTGCAGAACAACTTGTCCTTTCTGTTTCTTATTCAGCCAGGAGGCCAACTCAACACTGCTCAGTTCCAGAGACTCAGGGACAAAACCCAGGGTCTGGGCTTCCCTGGTGGCACAGTGGTTGAGAGTCCACCTGCCGATGCAGGGGATACGGGTTCGTGCCCCGGTCCGGGAAGACCCCACATGCCACGGAGTGGCTGGACCCATGAGCCATGGCTGCTGAGCCTGTGCTCCGCAACAGGAGAGGCCGCAGGGGTGAGAGGCCCGCATACCGCAAAAAAAAAAAAAAAAAAAAAAACAGGGTCTGAGACTGGAGGACTAAGGTATGTGATAACTTCTGTCAGTAATGATTACTCGTTTTAAAAATTTTTTTTTAATTTTTAAATTAAAAACATTTTTACTAACCATTGCTTTAAAAAGAGCAATACATTTTTAAAAACTGATATAAATTACATTGTTCTTTTGTTACTGAGTCTAAGCCCCTACTGCTCGCCACATAACAGGCCAACGATCAACAGACGAGTCGTTGGGACAAGGAGTAACGACTTTATTCAGAAAGACAGCAAACCAAGAAGATGGTGGGCTCATGCCCCCAAAGAACCATCTTGCCTGAGTTAGAATTCAGGCTCCTTTTATACTAAAAGGGGAGGCAGTAAAGTCAAACACTTCCTGGTTTCCATCAGCCTCCAGAGGGGGATGTGTCAATTTCTTCCTCCCTGCAGTCATTCACAGGTGGGCCTGGTCAGGAGGTTTCCTTTGAGCTAAACAAAGGTATTTTACCTTAAGGCTCATGACCTGGGAGGCAGGGTTCCCAGAGATGGGCCATTATGTATAATTTAAGCTTCTAGGCAACATCCCTTCAGTGATGAACTTGTAATAGAATACAAAGTGTTCTTCCCTATTACAATTCCCCACTGTCAATTTCCATCCACAATCTTGTGGGAAAAGGAATGAAGACCCTTCTGCTGAACAGAGGTGAGGAATATTCCTTAGAATCTTTAGTTAGTCCTTTTTATCTACAACTATTTAAACCTGATGAAACCTCTTAGCAGTTTCTTGGCTAATTCGTAACGGAACTTGGGGTTTGGGTTCCAGTTCAATACATATACTAAATTCTGGTGCTATTTCTTTGGACACAATTAAACAAATTGGTTGCCCCTTCTCCAATGGGCAATGGAGATGGAATTCCCATCTACTTCGGTTGGATGGGCAGACCTGTTGGAGGTATACTCATGAATAAATAGAGCCCAAAGTTTTAATGTGATTGGCCACCGCTAGGTCTTTAGCATTTATAGATTCGCCTGCCTGGGAACACACCTGCAAGGCCTGCCATACAGTATTCTAGTGGCTTAATTTAAGCCTGCTTCTGGGAGCCACTGATCCATAGCAGAGCAACTGGCAAGGCCTCATCCCAAATTCAGTGTCTCTTGACATGTTTTAGCAATGTTCCTTTTTAATGTATGATTAATTTTCTTGGTTTTTCCTGTTGATTATGGTCTCCAGGATGAATGCAGTTTTAATGCCTTCTTCCAAATCCGGGGATAATATCCCTTAGAAGGGCTTTAACCACTTCAGAGATTTTCTGTCTGTGGGATATGCTTCCACCCATCCTGAAAAAGTGTCCACACAAACACTAGCAGGTTATCTGAAATTTCTTGCAGTTCAAGGCATTTGAGGACAGTCTGTTTTTCAGTCCTGGGTTGGGCAGTTTCCTCTGTGTTGAGTCCCCATCTGTGGAGGTCTGACAGCAGTCTTTGGGTTATTTTTAAGACCTTGCGGGAAAGAGCTTTGTCTCCTTTCCAGGGATTTTCATGAGCCCCATCTGTAGGCTTAAATTAAAGCGTGTTCTGGTGGGACTCCGATGTCAAGCTATTCTGGTGGAAAAACTTCACGGTGAGGTCTATCAGAAAGTTAATCAGGGCTTCCCTGGTGGCACAGTGGTGGAGAATCTGCCTGCCAATGCAGGGGACACAGGTTCGAGCCCTGGTCTGGGAAAATCCCACAGGCCGCAGAGCAACTAGGCCCGTGAGCCACAGCTACTGAGCCTGTGCATCTGGAACCTGTGCTCCGCAACAAGAGAGGCCGCAGTAGTGAGAAGCCCGCACACCGCGATGAAGAGTGGCCCCCACTTGCCGCAACTAGAGAAAGCCCTCGCACAGAAAGAAACGAAGACCCAACACAGCCATAAATAAATAAATATTTAATTTTATTTTTTAAAAAAAAAGAAAGTTAATCAGCTCATTCCCCACTGTCAATTTCACCCCCAACTTCTGTGGGGAATTAGGTGCCTCAAGTCCAAAGGAGCCCCTGGGCCTCTTCATTCAGTGTTCCTCTCTTTCTACCAAGAGAGGTTCTTGTCTTTTATTGTTCTTCTTCTGTTTTAGCCGAGGGCAATCTTCTCCAACGTTCCCCCTCCTTCCAGTAAGCACATCATTCCTTCCCCAGTGGGCGCTCACCTCTCTTCAGGTTACTCGCCTTCCGGGAATCCAATGCCACTGTCAAAAGAGTGGCGCGTCGTTTTGCATCTTCATTTTTCTGTTGTTCCCTGTTGAACACTTTAAAAGCAACATCTACCAATTGAGGAGGGTTCACTCCAAATGTACCATCTAATTTTTCCAACTTTCTCCTGATATCGGAGGCACTTTGCCCCAAAAGGTCAAATGTACTATTCTAATATTTTCAGGGGCCTCAGGATCTGCATTAGTATGACGTCTGTAGGCCTGATAAATCCTTTCCAAACTTTCAGAGAGGTCTTCATTTGTTTTGCTGAATGTTGCTCAAACTCTTTTGCTTTGGTTTCCCTTTTCAAGGCCCTGCCAAGGTGCACTAATGAGTGATGCTCTAATAAGGGCCTTCTTCCCTGACTGGGGTCCCAATTCGGTTCAGCTGTGGGTGCTTCCAAGTGGGCTTCGGGTGTAGGGGATCCTCCCTATAAGGAGGGCTGCGATCTTATGAGGACTGCAATCTTTCCAATTAAACAAGTCTGAGAAACCCAGCCGGATATTCATTTGTATTTACGCCCCCTATGAGATAACGGCGTAAGGGGAACTGCCCGTCCCAGAAATGGCTCCTGGCCCAAATTGGGTGCCCTGTCGGGTCTTAGATGACAATACCAGACCAAGTCCCCGTACCCCTGAAACTAAGACAGGATTTTCTAACTGATCCCTATAAGGAGGGGCTGTCCTGGGCCTCAGTGTAAGGAATACGGGCTGGATAGGAATGGAAAGTGGTGGAAGGGGTGTATATAGTGGCATAATTGTCAGAGCAGCTGGGACAGCTAGCTCAGCCAGAGGAGTTAAGGTTTGGAGCAACATATCCTCACGCTCATTCCCTACCTTTTCGTATTTTCCCTGACAATACTACCAATCCCTGCGCATAAAGGATTTCATCATTCTTCCCTGCTTTTTCACAAAATACCTACAGAGTCATTCAACAGCCACTGTAAAACTATAGATAACAATTGATCATATAACCATTAAAAGGGCGAATTTCTTTTTAAGAGGGTATTAAATCATTTGTTGATTACACATGATAATGGATGATACACAAGCTTCATTCCCATCTATAACTTTATCTGGTACCATAATTCAATTTAGATATATTGCACAGGATGTGCCAACAATCATATTAATAACCAAAAAACTCCATGACTTTGCTTGGGTGACCCTTTTAATGGTGAACTCTAGGTCACGACACAGTAACGGTCAGTTCATAGTTTCTCCACCAAAGCAGGTTGTAAATAAACTTTGAATGGAACCTGGCACCACCCTGAAGGAATTCTAACGTCACACTGCTGGGGTAGTTTACCAAAATGGCTTCAGAGTAGACTAACTACACAGCACATTTAAAAAAACACACACATTTATTCAGCGTCATGATCAGACTATTACATTTAGCAATCAACAGCATGGGTGCAAAAAAAAAAAAAAAATCTACATTAAAACCCTTTGTTGGAATGCTTTACACTTTCCACAGAACAGAAACTAAAGTAACCTGTTAGGGCTTCCCTGGTGGTGCAGTGGTTGAGAGTCCGCCTGCCGATGCTGGAGACACAGGTTCGTGCCCCGGTCTGGGAAGATCCCACATGCCGTGGAGCGGCTGGGCCCGTGAGCCATGGCCGCTGAGCCTGCGCGTCCGGAGCCTGTGCCCCGCAACGGGAGAGGCCACAACAGTGAGAGGCCCCCGTACCGCAAAAAATAAATAAATAAAATAAAATAACCTGTTATACAATTAGTCACAAATGCAGTCCTTGACTTTTTTTTCCCCACACACGAGTACTGTCTAAAACATGTCTTCTTTGTAGCAGCTAGGCCCTGCCACCACTGTGCTTGGCTGAGTTCACAAATCTTTGGTAACCTGGAGTTTCCCCGTCACTTCTCTGTCTCTCCTCTCCTGCTAAGCTTTGTTTCCCGAGAGTAGTTAAAACCTTCTGCCCCCACCACAGCTCCTGCTGCTGCTGGAACCGCCACAGCCACCTTGGTTTTGTGGTTTGGCAAAGTATTGGTCTCCACCACCACAGGGGCCAGCACTTCTGCCTCCAAAGTTTCCTCCTTTCATGGGTCCAAAATTTGCAGATTGTTTGTTGTAACTGCCAGAATCATTGTAGCTTCCACCACCTCCAAAATGGCTTCCATCATTACCGAACCCATTATAGCCATCCCCACTGCCACCATATCCCCCGCCACCGTGGCTGCCACCAAAGGCACCTCGGCCACTGAAGTCTCCTCCACGACCAAACCTGTCATTCGCACCAAAACCCCCTCCACGACCACCACCAAAGTTTCCAGAACCACTTCGACCTCTTTGGCTGGATGAGGAACTAGCCATCTCTTGCTTAGATAGGGCTTTCCTTACGTCACAGTTGTGGCCATTCACCGTGTGGTATTTCTGACTGACAGTCTTGTCTACAGAGTCATGGTCATCAAAGGTTACGAAAGCAAAGCCTCTCTTTTTGCCACTACCTTGGTCAGTCATGATTTCAGTCACTTCAGTTTTCCCATACTGTTCAAAATAATCTCTTAGGTGATGTTCTTCAGCATCTTCTTTAATGCCACCAACAAAAATCTTTTTCACAGTTAAGTGGGCACCAGGTCTTTGAGAATCTTCTCTTGAGACGGCCCTTTTTGGTTCCACAACTCTTCCATCCACCTTGTGTGGCCTTGCATTCATGACTGCATCCACCTCCTCCACAGTGGCATATGTGACAACCCCGAAGCCTCTGCAGCGCTTGGTGTTTGGATCCCTCGTTGCCACACAATGTGTGAGCATTCCCCGCTGCTCAGAATGGCTCCTCAGACACTCATCAGTTGTTTCAAAGCTCAAACCTCCGATAAAGAGCTTCTGCAGGGCTTCCCTGGTGGCACAGTGGTTGAGAGTCCGCCTGCCGATGCAGGGGACACGGGTTCGTGTCCCGGTCCAGGAAGATCCCACATGCTGCGGAGCGGCTGGGCCCGTGAGCCATGGCCGCTGAGCCTGCGCGTCCGGAGCCTGCGCGTCCGGAGCCTGTGCTCCGCAACGGGAGAGGCCACAACAGTGAGAGGCCCGCGTACCGCAAAAAAAAAAAAAAAAGTCAGACCAATGAACAGTTTTTCTTTTACACCCAGAGGTCAACAAGGTAGGAAAGCCCCCATATGGAAGAGTGGATGATTAGGTGGCCTGAGGCTACATTCTCAGGGGATGTTTTACACTAAAGTCTCCTACTTGGAGGAGATGTTCAGGCAGTGCTGTTGTTCTGAATTACAATGCTCAAAAGCGGTCTAAAATAGTGACCTTGGGAGGGGAGAAAAGCATACTAAATTTTGATTAAATCATGGTTACGGGGCTTCTCTGGTGGCGCAGTGGTTGAGAGTCCGCCTGCCAATGCAGGGGACACGGGTTCGTGCCCCGGTCCGGGAGGATCCCACATGCCGCGAAGCGGCTGGGCCCGTGGGCCATGGCCGCTGGGCCTGCGTGTCTGGGGCCTGTGCTCCGCAACGGGAGAGGCCGCAGCAGTGAGAAGCCCGCATAACACACACACACACAAAAAAATATCATGGTAACGGTCATTGTACCCAGTGATCACTGAGGACAACTGAGAATGACACTGAGGCTGGGAATTTGGAGTATTCCTATCTGGCTGGTTCCTAAGGAAACAAGGGAGCTATCATGAGTCATATTGAAATTGACAGGGAGGTGTAGTCTTAGCTAAGTAAGCTGTTTCCTTTAGCACAAAAGAAGAAAAGGAGCTCTTTAACCTTTGATATTTTCAAGTTACAGAGTTTAAGTAAAGTCTAACATTTTCACTCCGTAATATGACATCAAGCGAAATTCAAAAAATAATAAATACATGTGTTATATTTGAATAAAGGAATATTAGAAAATTTAAACTAATACTGGTAACAACAAACTTGCCCAGGAACCTTAGCGTTTATGACTTTGGATGGCATTGAAGGACCCTTCATACTCATTGTGCCTGTGTTGTGACTCTCCCTGTCACATACTAGGGAAATCATTAAGTGCTGAAATATGTTGCTCTAAATCACCAAGTCAGAAATCTATGAACCATAAACTGAACAAAATCCTAGAGGATATTTTCAGACCAAAATTTAGTCTTAACTGAGCTCATCCAGTTCTGAGGCTTTCTCATTCAGATGAAGGCGGCACCATGAAATAGGGCAATTTCAGTGAGATTATTTACAAATATTTGATCATGATAAACCAGTTCGAAGTTTTATAACTGAAAACACAAAGCCCTTTAAGGGTAGTTAGACAGTGAACGTAATATATTTGCAATTGAATTAAAAACAAATGAATCTACTATACAAGTGTACTTATTTACAAAACAGAAATAAACTCAAAAACATAGAAAACAAACTTATCATTACCAAAGGGGAAAGTGGGGGAGGAATAAATTAGAGTTTGGGATTAACAGATATACAGCACTATATATCAAATAGACAAAAAACAAATACCTACTGTACAGCACAGGGAACTAAAATCAATATCTTGTAATATCCTATAATGGATTAGAATCCAAAACAGAATATATATATCTGAATCACTTTACTGTACATCTGAAACTAACACAACATGGTACATCAGCTATACTTCAATAGAAATAAATAAGTATGGAGGCTCCTTAAAAAACTAAAAATAGAACTACCATACAACTCAGCAATCCCACTACTGGGCATATACCCTGAGAAAATCATAGTTCAAAAAGAGTCATGTACCACAATGTTCACTGCAGCACTATTTACAGTAGCCAGGACTTGGAAGCAACCTAAGTGTCCATTGGCAGATGAATGGATAAAGAAGATGTGGCACATATATATAATGGAATATTACTCAGCCATAAAAAGAAATGAAATTGAGTTATTTGTAATGAGGTGGATGGACCTAGAGTCTGCCATACAGAGTGAAGTAAGTCAGAAAGAGAAAAACAAATACCATATGCTAACACGTATATATGGAATCTAAAAAAAAAAAAAAGGTTCTGAAGAACCTAGGGGCAGGACAGGAATAAAGATGCAGACGTAGAGAATGGACTTGAGGACACAGGAAGGGGGAAGGGTAAGCTGGGACGAAGTGAGAGAGTGGCACGGACATATCTACACTACCAAATGTAAAATAGATAGCTAGTGGGAAGCAGCCACATAGCACAGGGAGATCAGCTCGGTGCTTTGTGACCAGCTAGAGGGGTGGAATAGGGAGGGTGGGACGGACACACAACAGGGAGGGGATATGGGGATATATGTATACATATAGCTGATTCACTTTGTTATACAGCAGAAACTAACACACCATTGTAAAGCAATTATACTCCATAAAGATGTTAAAAATAAATAAATAAGAATAAATGCGGGACTTTCCTGGTGGTCCAGTGGGTAAGACTCTGAGCTCCCAATGCAGGGGCCCAGGTTCCATCCCTGGTTGGGGAACTAGATCCCGCATGCATGCCGCAACTAAGAAGTCCACATGCCGTAACTAAAAGATCCCGCATGCCACAACGAAGATCCCGCGTGCCGCAACTAAGATATGGCGCAGCCTAAATAAATAAATAAATAGTTTTTTAAAAAGAGTAAATGCATGTTCTAATGGCAAGAGGCAATATATGAGAAGGAATAAGGGTAATAATTTAGGAAGTGAATCCAAGGGTTAAAGGTGGAGTAATTACTGGAGATAATGAGTTCTCACCTATAACCTTGACTTTGGGAGGTTAAGATGGGTATGGAAAAAGAAAAGGTCATTGAAAGTGTACCAGTTAACTGTCTACAAGTTTTGCTATGGTAACAAATATTCCTGAATTCTCAATGGCTTACAACAAGAAACACTGATTGCTTCCCTATATTATATGAATCATTATTCACCTCTTGCTTCTTTCAATAATTTGATTTTGTCATTCCCGGTAAAATTTCAGTCTATCCAAGACCATTCTTGCAGTAGAGAGAAGACAGGGTTATATGAAGCAAATAAAAGCTCTGAAAGCTTTGATTTCAGGTTGAAACACGCCATTCTACTCACACCAAATTGGCCCAGGAGGAACTCAAAAGGCATAAATGGGCAAGGAAGTACAATCCTCTCAAAGGGAAGTAAGGGTTGCCTAAGTCAAGCAGCCAACCTTGTTATCAGAGGGCAGACATGTATAACCTCACAGGGTGATAATTAATAGGAAATTATTACAATATATAATACTGCAGCTTCTGTCACAAATAATTTGTCCCTCCTCTGTTCACAATAAATAAAACTACTAATTTCAAATGAAATAGGGGATATTACTACAGAACATGAATACATCAAAATGATATAAAGAAGCTATGAAAAAACTCTACACATTATACCTAACAACTCAATAGCACATTAAAACGATTATATACCATGGCTAATGGGAATGTATTTTTAAAATATAAGGATGGTTCAACATATGGAAATCATTCAATGTAAAACAGCATGTTAACAGAATGAAAGAAAAAGACAACATGATCATCTCTACTGATGCAGAAAAAGCAGTTGACAAATGTCAACAGTCTTTTATGATAACAACACTCAATAAACTAAAAATAGACAAAAATTCCTCAACATTAAGGACGTATAGTAACAGCCCATGGCTAACATCATACTCAACAGATTTTCCTCTAAGATCAGGAACAACACAAGGATATCTGCTCTCACTGTTTCTAAAAACGAATTACTAGAAAGTCTAGCAGGAACACATAGGCAGAAAAAAATAAGTAAATAAACGGTATCCAAATAAAAAAGGAAGCAAAATTATCTCTGTTGACGAACAACATGTTCTAGTATGTAGAAAACCCTGAAGGCTCTGCAAAATAAACCTGCTAGAAATAATGAAGGAAGTCAGAAAAATTATGAGATAAAATGAACAAATAAAATCAGTTGTGTTTCTATAAATTAAAAATGAACAATCAAGAAGGAAATTCAGGGGGAGATCCCTGGTTCCCTGGGGTCGAGCAGTTAGGATTTGGCGCTTTCACTGCTGTGGTCCGGGTTCAATCCCTGATCGGGAAACTGAGATCCCTCAAGCAGTGCTGTGTGGCACAAAAAAACAATCAAAAAAAAAAAAACTCCTTAAAAAAAAAAAAAACAAGGAAATTCAGAAACAACTCTATTAACCATAACATCAAAGAAATAAGTAAAATACTTGGAATAAGCTGACATTTAAAGGGAAAGATTTGTACACTGTAAACTAAAAACACAGCTGAAAAATATTCGAAAGGACACAATGCAAAGATATCCCAAGTTCATTAATTGGTAGTCAATATTTTCTAGATGTAAATACTACCCAAAGCAATCAACAGAGTCAACCCAATCCCTAGTAAATCCCAATGGTATCTCTTGAAGGAATGAACTTACAAACTCTCATGGGGTCCAACACAGTCTCCGTACAATGTAAGAGTCACTGCCCTTGAGAAATGGTTTGTGATATTCCTCAAAATCAGAAAAAACCCTTTGGAAAGACTTATCAGCCAGGCTCTGTTGATACTTTCTGTCTCATATCCTAGAACATGCTGACCACTCCACTACATAGCTTGAAATGGTGATTTTGTATGCTGCAGGAAAATATTACAACATATGAGGGAAACTGTTCTACATCAAAAATTTCTGTTACCCAGCAAATCCACACGATGGAGAGCCCACCTGAAGTTGTGCATTAACTAAGAGTGGCTTATCACAGCAGAGAAACTGGATAAAATTTCAGACCCTAGGACTAGGTATTTCCAAAACAAGTTTCAGAGGTAAAATCATGCCAACTTAGGAGAATATGAAATCAAGAAGAGTATACCTTCCCCAACTTGACAGAGCAGTACAAGAGCAAAACAAAATACAAGATTTGTAGGTCAGATATTATACGATGAA